CTCTCTCTCTCTCTCTCTCTCTCTCTCTCTCTCTCATTCGAAAGAGCCGAGATTTCCCGTGTTTTTCCGTGCGACTTGCCCGGCAATCATAGCGGAACACGAATCCAGAATCCTTCGCGCATTCTGCGCGATGCTAATTAATCTGTGTGCACTTTGATAGAAAAAAAAATAAATAAATAAGTAAACAAAGACAAGCACTTGTTTATGAGCTGCACACTCTATAGTTAATTTGAGAAGTCTTAAGTCAAATAAATTTCAATCGGACGATTAAATTGCAATTCCTTCAGAGAGCAATTGGTTGATTAAATTTTGTTGGGAGACAGATTTAATATATTTTAATAAAGGTATCCCCGCGCGCCGGAAAAGGTACATAAAATTTCATACGATAATTACGCGTTGTAAAAGGGATATAAAATTTTATTAAGGCGATCCCCGGCCGTTATAAATCGATCGTTATTTGAGGAAAATATTTGCTTTTGAGAGTCAATTCTAAATTTATTTCTCCTTCTCGCGCGCATTCGACGCTGCGTATAAAATGGGGATAAATAAACTTCCGGCGTGTCCCGAGGTACGCGAACGTTGTCACGAGATTTTAACGATTCCGCGAATGCGAGAGTAATGAGGGAGAAATGTCGCGCGGCCCGCGGAAAGGAAAAACGCTGGAGATTGCGACACCCGGTCTTTTTCTCGGCCATTTAGATTTCTCGTCGCGAATCCGCGAGATAAAAGCCGCGAGTTCGTACGTTACGCGCAAACCGATCTATCGGACTATTTCGCAAATGAGATCGGTAGGGGGCGGACGGGGGATAAATTATATGGTAGGGTGTACGGCCTTTCGCGAGTACCGGCGCGAGTACCTCCCCCTCACGTGTAATTACGCGATCGTATTTACATACGCGCGTCCCGCGGCCATTATCCTACCCGGCAAGATCTTTATTTTGCGTTCGTGCAATCGTGCACGTACTTACGTATGCCTCGAATCGGCCGTCTGGTCTCTTTCGCGTCGCGGACAAAGGCCGGAAAAATACGAATTTCTAATCGCGGCGTAATCGTAGCGCGTGCGACTCGACTATTGCCGCGACTGCCTTGCAGTGAGAAAACAAAACCGCAGATGTAATAAAGGAGCGAAAGCGCTTCGTGAGAAAAACCCCGTGGGGAAAACGCAGGATGACCCAGAAGTACCGGCGAGACGTCTCTCGAAAGGATTTATCTTTGACGCGTGGAGACGCATGGAGATGATTTTTAGCGCTTTAAAATAAGCTTCGAAATATAAATATGTAATCGTCGGGATAATAAGAGCGTTATTTTGAGACAAAATTATGGGCGCGATTCAGTTAATTAATGTCAATTTAGAATTCTTTTTTTCCGTCCATAGCGGGTTAAGAATTTTAATCGCGAATGTATATTAACTTTTAATGAAAAATTTCTCGAGGTCCGATCGGAGTTAACAGAGATTTAATAATTTGATATTTTCGCCGAGATGGTCGATGCGAGTTTAATTAAAAAATCCGCGATCCGCTTGACGGCCAGGCGTGAAATTTTCCTCGGGAAAGACCGACTAGCCGCGCGAGAATCCCTTCCGGAGGAAAAATCCTCCTCGTCGATCGCGGGAACTTCCAGCCCGCCAGCGGTGAGATGATGATTTTCGTTCGTCCCTCGCAGAGCTTCGGTCCCGCGAAAAGGCGAACGCGGCGCTCGTGAATACGTCATGATACGTGTGAGAAAAAAAGATCTAATGTGCCAGACGCCATTGCGGGATAAATCCGCCCGCGGGCGACGTCGCCCTACATCCTCGGCCGCGATTCCGCGAATTACCGATCCGATGCGGATCGTCGAACGGAATAGCCGGGCACGATCGGAACCCATCGTGAGCGGGGTGTCGAACGAGATGAACATCGACGGCCCAAAGTGGATTATTAAATCCGATTTAAAAATTTGTCCGATTCGAGGCACGCTGCCACCCGACGAGCATTATTACCTCGAGGAGGATTATCGAAATGCGCGATAAAAAAAATTTGTTATCAATCACACGCGATCCACGGAGCGGGAGTCGCGAAATGATGGGACGAAACTCGCTAAAATCCTGGAAAAAAAAAAAAAAAAAAAAAAAAAAAAAAACTAAATCGAAACCCGCGGTAGATCATCGAATACAGAGCGGACATTATTAGCCCGAAGCAGATTATCGGCGAGAAGATCAGTCGAAAGCAGATCAAATGTAGCGGTTAAAAGTGATCGATGTTTTAAACAAAATAGCCATGCGTATTCTCTCCTCCATTTTTCATATCCCATATTCCATACTTTTTATACGTGTTATGAGGCTTTTAAAGTTCAAAAGTAATCACTGCGAAACTACGTTTCGAACTGACATTAATTTTTCCCTCATGTGCATCACCTTTATAGCGGCGGGTAAAAAAAAAAGAAATTAATATTACGTACTGGATGAATTAACAACGGATTATCCGTCTGGTTCTCTGGAGGTTTCCTGACCGCTCCACCCCCGCCCCTTCCTCCCGCCATACGTTATTTCCCATCATCGTCCGAATGCGATAGTAATTGGTTTTCTATCATTGCGCGCGCGTTAATGGCAATTTTAAATTAACGCCGCTGGATATCCGTCGTAATTAACGGTTCAACGGCGGGACACAAGCCGCGCCGTTGCGGGATATATATTACCGAACGGGGAGCCCCATTTCTCTCGCGTGTGCGACACGAGGCGACGCAACGCCATTTGTCGTGTAATTAATATCTTTTCGGATATACATTAAATTTCCGCATTACACCGCTTCGTTCAACGGTATCATTCAACGAGCCGCGTCGATCCGCGATTTTTCTCCTCCCGCTGGAAGAGACGGGGCCCTCCTCTTCCTCCCTTCTCCCCTCCTCCTCCTTTTCCGCTTCCGTTTCCGGGGCGATGCACCATTCGCGCATGATTGTTAATACACCGTTTTATTAATTCACGAGAATTGTCGTCGCGCGCGCTTCGATCGCCTTCACAAACCTTTGTAATTTTCTGTAATCCCCCTCTCTCTCTCTCTCCTCCCCTCCCTCCCTCCTTCTTCCTCTCTCTCTCTTTCTCCCTCTCTCTCTTTCTTTCTCTGTATCTAACGCTGAAATAAACAACCAGTTGGTGAAATTACTGATGATAACAAGTTAACACATACGATAAATCAAGATACCAAATATTGGAATTTCTATATAAATATATAAATGAGAAGATATGAAATGCATATGCAAGAGGATATAAAAAGATCAGTTCGCAGTAACTGATGTAAAAAAAACGTGATAGCATGTAATATAAAATAAAACGATTCCATCTCTAACGAATAGACATAAGAGATATTGACGATAAATGTCAATGTAAATCAAGTGGGGTAGATGATAATAAACACGTTATGAAATTATCGCGAATCATAAATATACAGCCTCGGTCCCTTTAATCGCCCGGAAATTTTGCGCTATCACGTCCATGTCTCGTGTATAACTTTCGAGGCACCACGCAAATTAAATGCATTACGATCGCAAATTCATACAGTGTACTCGCCCAAACGATAACCGGAATGGAGTTCGTTATTTTTCCACCGTGCCGGGCAGTGTTCATTTTGCTGCCGGCAATCAAGTGTTCTCATTAATAAAGCATTTCGGGCATAAATTAATTATCGCCCCAGTGCTCTCCGGGTCCCTTCCCCTTCTCCGCCACCGTCCGTCCGTACGATTTTCCGTTTTGTTTTCTCTCCGTGGAATACGGTTTCATTCGTCGTGTCCGCGTTGATTGAGCGCAACTCGCTCAATTATTTCGAGAATCGATCGATTTGCTCTCGGGCTCCTCCTCCCCTCCCTCCCCTCCCTTTTTTTTTCGTCTCCTCCCTTGAAAAAGAGAGGAACGCTGATTGTTCGAATTACTTTCACCGATCCCCTTTTCCACCCTGGTGACCGATTATCGCGAGTTATCTCGCGCTACGAGCGACACCGATTTTCAAAGCCGTCTTCTCTCTCCGTCCTCCTTCTTACTCAATGGGCGCTAATTTACGTCGAGGTTTTCGCAGACGGCCGGAAAATCCGCGGTAAATCGGAAAGCGTGATAGGAGGGGACCGCCCGGGCGAGAAATTAATCGAGGCACGAAAGGTTTCGGACGTGTTAAGTGATGAATTAAAAAAGGATTTCTCTACCGACGAGAGGTAGAGTATACCGGTTATACGTCGGGCCAACAACTAATTACGGATTACGGCACCTCAAATCAATTGTCAGAGAGAGCCTCGCGGAGTAAAATGAGGAATTACGATAACTGGATGATGGGAAAAGTAACGACAAACGTCAACCGGAACTCCTAGTTCCGTGACTAAACGTTTGACTCGTCAATCTTAGATTATATTTATCTATAGCGAGAAACGGAGCTCTCGAACTTAAATGACGGCTTCGCGCGCAATTAATTTATCATTTCGTATTTAGGTCTATCGAGTGATAAGGATAAAGACCTAGATAAGAACTCTCTTTTACGTTCGCTTTCGCGGAAGACGCGATAAATAACAGATAGGATATTATTTTCTAGAATAGCAAGTAGAATTACAGAAGTTTTTATTTTTTATGCTTTCAGGGGACAGCATCCACTGCACGGGAGCGAGAGACGCAAATCAGCTGGTATGTCAAATAATCAGCTGGTTGACTCCTGTCTGTAAGTGTCTTTCTCTATGTTAAAATAAAATCGCGGCAGAATTCTCTCGTGTGTGCTTCTCCGACTATTATCATTAATGATAAGAATTTAATATCGTGCCTCTCATCGCAGTATCATCGCTCGACTTTCAGTCCATTCATTATCGTCGATCGGATCGATCCCTCATGGTCGTTACATCTTTATCCTCCATTTCGGACATCTCGTTATTTCTCTCTTCTCTTTAATAGTCCCGTCTCTATCTCGCCGTAAACCTCCGCGTAAATTCGCGGAGCAGAATTTCTCGGGCTCTCGCGGCAAACTCCAGTTTTACTCCCTGACGACTTTGACGTCAACTTTTCCTTTTGCGATAATTCAGGCATAATTACAAAGTTACTTAACGTGAAGGATTAAAAAGGTTTCGGCGTGTTAAACTCCGAGATTGCAAATAAATAACCTCATTTCCTCCGTGGACTTTCAGCGAACCTCCAGCTTTTAACTTACTCTCAATTCGAGCTCGACTCTACCACGTGCATAAAAAAATCGAAAATTAACGTAACGTCCTCGACTGAGTGATGCAGTTCTTGACCGAAAAAGACAATTACAGTTACAACAGCACTAGAAACACACTGTAGACAAAAGTGAGTAGAGAGGGACGAACGATTTTGATAATTTTACGACTGATCACTCATTAGGCTGGTGAATCGCCGGATTGAGCGGAGACAGGAGCACAACAT